TGCAGTTTTTGTTTTCCCTTTATTTTCTTCTTTCCTTCCTTCCTTTCCCTCCTTACTTTTTCCTTACTTTGTATTAGTTCGTATTAGCTTGTTATTTTTAACAGTTTAAATAAAACCATATTTTAAAACTTCTGCCCAATATAAGCAGACCGAGGTGTGATATGTGTGTATATGGTAGTATTAAATTACTCTTAACAAATTGTTCTAAGAAACTGCATTAAACCTGAAACTAAAACAGTAACCAGCTTGTCTTAACTGCGAAATAACCTTTGCTGCTTGTTATTTTGAACCACCAAAGGGCTAAATGTTGTGCAGGACATAGAATTAAATCTTTTTTATCAGTGGATTTACATTACCTATATAGGCAGACCAGTCTGAGCTGAAGTGAGAGAGAGCAACTGCTGTACAAATTCCTGAGAGTGGGAGAGCCTGGTATGCTACTCTGCAGTGCCATCTGCTGTAGATGTCAAGTACTGCACTATAAACCAATTCAATTCTTTGTTTCACACATTTCATCCCAGGTTAGGAGCCCACCACTGGCATCTAACAAATTGTACTAAAAGACATAAGATTTTGTGAACTGCAGGTCACTTCTTCAAGAGCCAGCTTGGTTCAGTAGTTAAGGTTTTAGGCTAGAAACGGGGAGACCTTGGGCACAAAGGTGGTTGGTTGACTCTGAGCAGCCCCAGGAGGTGATGGCAAAGCCCCCCCCCCCCCCCAAAAAAAAAACATGCCAAGAAAATGGCAGGGGCTTGTCCAATGAAAGTCAAAAATCAACACTAACTTGAAGGCACCTCCCCCCTCCCCCCCCACAAGCTCACATGATGTGTAAACTAAGGAGAATGTTCCTGACAGAACAACCAGTGGAAAGGCCTGGGACCAGGTTATCTGAGGGACTGTCTCTTGCAGGTCACATCTATCCAACCCATCAGAGCGGGGAGGCAAGGAATGTTGGGTCCCATCCCTGAGGGAGATACACCTGGTGGGACCTTCTTTGTGGTGGCTCCCTCTCTCTGGAACATCATTCCCCCAGAGATTAGAACGGCCCCCACTCTAATACTCTTCCAAAAGACACTGAAGACCTGGGTCTGCTAGCGGGCCTGGGGCACCCAAAGCAGGACGGAGCCCATCAAATGACTTGTGTGATCTGCTGTCGCCGGGACGGGGGTGGGGTGAGATCTGGGGGTGATTTTATATTGCACTATATTAATTTATTTGATTCTTTTTGTTAGTTTTTATTGTTTTAAATGTGGTTTTATATTCTGTAAGCCATCTTGAGTCGCAATGGGCAAATAGGTGGCAATATAAATTCAATAAATAAATAAGCTGTGGGTGCTCCATCACTGGAGGCTTTCGAGAATACATTGGACAGCCATTTGTCTAGAATTGAATAGGATTTCATTTGTAAATTGTCATGCATTGAGGCACCACATGACCTGATTCAAGAGTTGTGATCTGTTTTTATAATGGTTAAGCAAATGTGGCAATCATTAAGCAAAACCATTTTCCCCAGTGGGTGTTTCTTGCAGGAAACCAGAAGTAAACAAGAGAAACCAGAAAGAAACATCATAAATTGTGCTCTTGTGACACTACAAATGGCTGTCAATGTGAGCCAGTTGCCAAGCACCCAAAATGCGATCAGGTTATGTTGGGGTGCATGTATCTCTGCATGCAGCAGCCGTAACTTTGAAAATGGGTCGTAAGTAGCTTTGGGGGGGG